GTGTTTTTATGTGTATGTATATATACCCTAAACCCTTAAAAAAAAAAAAGAAAACTAACATATCGCCATAAACCCTAAACCCTCATACTGCAAATATATTGATGTATATGGGTTGTTGGGTTTATAATAGCGGTTTTGTGGTTTAGGGTTTAGGGTTTAGGGTTTAGGGTTGTGTTGATGATTGTATTGAATTGCACATTTATATTTAGTATTAATTTTTGTTAATTTATTTTATTTTATTGCATTAATTTATTTTTGTTTGCAACTGAAAATATAAAACTTTTTCTTTCTCTTCTTCTGCTGGAGCTGCCTATACACCTGAGCGGGCGGTGGAGCTGCCTATACACCTGAGCGCGTGATGGAGCTGCCTATACACCCGAAATTTTTGCATTTTTTTTTGTGGTTTCAGCAAACTCCCGAGTATTTACAATTAAATTATGGAATGAATTTATCAGAATATAAAAATATTTATTTAATTGAGTTTCTACATCGATGGATAGCCAGAGGGTTGGGGCTCTTCTTTGGTGCTGGCCTCGCAGCTTGTGCTATCAGCAGATGCATCCGCCGCCCTTTAGCTATTAAACTCGCTCGTAACCAAACCCTAAACCATAAACCCTAAACCCTAAACCCTAAACCCTAAACCCTAAACCCTGAAGTAGATTACTTAACCCTAGATTTCGTCTATAAACCCTAAACCCTAATTTTCTCAACAGGAGGAGGGTTTAGGCCGAACGAATTGCAGCCAAAACCCCTTCATTCAAACCTAGAAAGGGTAAACTCTAGGGTTTAGGGTTTAGGGTTTAGGGTTTAGGGTTTGTGTGCTCAGTCTGCGGCATGTTTGGGGGCATCCAGGGCCTCGTAGGCTGGTGGATGGTCCGCTCGGGTTTCCAAGAGCCACAGACAGAAGTCAAAACCCCCCGGTAAACCCTAAACCCTAAACCCTAAACCCTAAACCCTAGGAATTTTTTTTGTAGTGCCTGGAGGGCAGGCCGTCATATATGATATTCTATACACCGCGAGAAACACTAAACCCTAAACCCTAAACCCTCGTTGTCTAAAGCTTGCCAGCGGGGTTGTGGGTGCGTTGATGGCGTCATTAGGGTTTAGGGTTTAGGGTTTAGGGTTTGTGTGAATGTTTTTTAGGGTTTCTCCTTATCGTTTAGCTTTTCACTTAGTAATGGCTGGGGGTTTGTACACCGCCCTGCTGTGGCAGACGCTGACGTTGCTGCTGCCGGCACCAGCAGCAGCAGCAACAGCAGCAACAGCAGCAGCAGCAA